CCCTGCGGTGAGCTGTGAGCAGCTGCACTCGGGATCCTGCAGCTGAGACGGGGCCCCTTTCACAGGGATTCCCCAGGAGCCCCGTCGAGGACCGGCATCTTTCCTCCCTGACGCTTCCTTCCTCCCAGTGCCACGCCTGTCACCCTTGGGCGCTGGGCTGGGCAACTACCCTCCCTCCCTGGGTCTCTAGGGACCTCCTCCCTGAGCCCCGAAGGGGTTTGTGGGAAAGACATTACCCGGTGCATTCTCAGCCACATTGACCTCAGGCACCCTGTCTGGCCTGGGCCACTGGCCACACTGCCCCCGCAGCACCCCGAGGTCAGGGGCCCTGTCCTGCACGCTCAGAGGGCCATCGTCCCCCTCAGCACCCATAGTCCCTGCCGGGTCCCCTGGTGCAGAGGTCGTTTAGTACATCAGTCCAATGTGCTCGGTGTCAGGCTCCTCTCCTCCCTCGCGCTCTCTCCTTCCAGCTCATCTCGGTCCCACCTCCCTGGCTCCCAGGGACCTGAGTGCGTGGAGGGAGGTGGTCGGGACCCCTGTGTGGCTTGTCACTCTGGAATTAACGCCTCCCTGGAGCTGGCAGTCCGGGCCCTGCACCCTCCAACCCACCCATCCGTGCAGCTTCACCTCCCAGACACGCCCCTCTAGACGCCCCGCGGTTTAGGGGGGCTAGCCCACTCCCCTCCCCGAGGCTCTGCAGGCGCCCAGCCTCCCGGAATGCCCTTTGCTCCTGGCCCACCCTCTACTGTCCTCCTCCTCCAGCTCTCCGCACCCCTGGCACTCACAGCAGCCGCTCCCTCCCGGGGCCCTGGTAACTTTCCCCGTCTGTTCTGCTTGTTTGGGGCTCAGAACTTAACTGACCTGAGTTTCTATGCACAATTCTGCGAACAGGCTGAAAGCCTTTGGGTTGTAGCTTTAAATGGGTGAGTTGTGTGGTGTGTGGGTCATATCACAGTAAAGCCATTAACAATCACAAGGTAGTGTAAGCAAGTCACGGATTGTGTGGTAATCAGTTTAATGCCTGTCTCCCCTGGTAGACTGTGAGCTCAGTCTTTATTTACTTACTAGAGGCCCGGTCCACGAATTCGTGCACCAGTGGGGTCCCTCTGCCTGGCCTGCGGGATCGGGCCGAAACCAGCTCTCTGACATCCCCCGAGGGGTCCTGGATTGCGAGAGGGCGCAGGCCTGGCTGAGGGACCCCACCAGTGCACGATCAGGGTCAGGAAGGGACGAGGGAGGTTGGCCAGCTGGGGAGGGGCTGAAAGAGGGCTCCAAGGTGTGTCCAGTCCATCTCGCTCAGTCCCTGATCAGCTGACCCCAGCAGCAAGCTAACCTACTGGTGGGAGCATCTGCCCCCTGGTGGTCAGTGCACGTCATAGCAAGCAGTTGAGCATATTACACTTGAATTGGTTGAACAGCCGACCGGATGACTGGACACAGCATATTAGGCTTTGATTATATAGGATTTTAAGGTTAAATAAAAACAATTTTTAAAAAATAGACAGTAATTTTTAGAGAAGTGTTAGGTTCACAGCAACATCGAGCAGAAGGGACAGAGGCTCCCAGCTGCCCCCTGTCGGTCTTTATTTTCACCTTCCTTCCCAGGGCCCAGCACAGTGGATGCGAGGACATAGGAGGGGGAATGAATGAATGAATGAATGAGTGAGTGAAAGGCCTGCTTGGAGGCTGTCGGTTCTGTTTCATACAGAACCTGCTACGTTTCTCCCTCTTCCTTCCCCCTCAAACCCCAGTCCTGACCTTCCTGGAGCGCCCCGGGGTCCGGCGTTCCAGGCGGTGCCGGGTGCAGGGTGCTCGGGCCTCTGCGAGCTGGTTTGTTTGAATTCCTCCTACGTGACTTCCTCTGAGCTGCAGACGAAGCTCTGGCTTCTCATTTGTTTATGAAAATGATCTGGCCTCTCTGATGACTGCCGGGAAGTTAATTAAAATGTGACTTCTCTGGGCGAGGCCCCCTCTGGGCAGGTGCAGGTGGGCAGGCGTCCAGCTGGCAGAGGATCCACAGGCAGACTCGGGAGCTGGCTGCCACTCCGGGCGGGCAGAGGGGTGGGGAAGAGGCGGGTGCCTCACTCTCCACGCTCTTTTTCTGGGAACCAACAGCTGCCGACGCGCATTGGAGCCTCAGGCTGCAAAGATCACCCCCCTGGGAGGCTCACTCATCTTTTACTCCACAAACATTTGTTTTCTGCCTACTCCGCGCCAAGCCCTGTGCCCAGAGTTTGAAGGTAAACAAAGAGGATGCATAGCCCCTGCCCTCATGAAATCCATCTTGAAAAGAGGACAACCGAACAGATTGCCTCCAGCTCTAAAAACTTGTAGGCCCTAGAGTGAGACATGATACTTGCAATACATGGACCTGACGAAAGACTCGTATCCATCATATATAAAGAGCTGCTACAAATCAATAAGAAAAAGGCAGCAGATCCTGTAGAAAAATGAGCAAAAGACTTAATAGGACATCATTAAGAGGACGTCCAAGCCGCCAAGACCCACGGGTTAAGGTGCTCGGCCTCGGTGCTGTCGGTGGGGGTGTGGAGCAACTGGAGCGCTCGTGCCCTCGGTGGGCGTGTGAACTGGTGCGGCCACCGTGGGAAGCTGTTGAGCCGCGTCTACTAAAGCTGAACGTATGCCAACCTGATAACACCCTCCTGGCCCCCAACCGCAACGAGTGCCCCTGTCCACCCAAAGCTCTGTCTGCGAATGCGCACACACCGCGCTATGTGACAGCCACTTCCGGAAGCAACCCTACACGCCAGCCCGGGCGGGGAAACCGCTGTGACATACTTATTCCATAGAGCGCCCTACAGCAGTGGTTCCCAGCTGGGGGTGATTTTGCCCCCCGCCCCCCAGGACATGGAGTCATGTCCAGAGACATTTGGGGTTGGGAGGGACTACTCCCCTCCACCAGGGGTGGGGCCAGGGCGGCTGCTAAACAACTCACGGCGCAGGAGACAGCCCCACCCCAGTGAGTGCTCTGGCCCTAATTCCCAGAGGGCCGAGGCCCAGCAACACGGGCCACCAAGGAGAGTGAGGACACAGCTATACCCAGCCCACGGGGCCCTCACACCCACGCGCAGCACGGCTCTCTGGTGAGGAGTCCGGAGCCTGGGTCCCCTTGGGGTGGGGACAGTGGCTGAAGCCGCTCCAGGAGGCTCAGGGGCGCTGTCCTGTGGCTTCCCGACCCCAGGTGGGTGTCCTTCGCACCCGTTCTCCCGGGACGGCGGTCGCACATCCGAAGGGCAGTGGCCAAGCGGAAGACCCACCTTCGGACAAGGGCTGCCCACACACAATGGCAGAAACCACAGCGGCCAACAAGTCAACTCGGCTCCCCGAGGTCCTCCGGGCTGCGTTCTGAGCCTGGGAGGGAGGGGCCCGCCTGCAAGTCCCTGAGAATGGAAGGGTCTCATCTCCTCCCCTCTGACCTTCCAGATGGGGTGTTGCCGGGGAGACAAGAGATGCCCCAAGAAGTTGGCGAGAAGCAGGCTCGGCCCCTGGCGAGGTCTGCTCCTCGGTGGGTGGGCGGGGGGTTGAGATGGCTGTCGCTTCAGGAAACATCGTGGGGTTCGACTCGGCTCAGACACCAGAGCTCAGTGCTCCCCCCACAGCAGCCCCTCACGACAGCTCTCGGAGGGAGCACGCTGTCCCCCAGGACGGATGGGGACGTCGAGGCTCAGAGAGGTCGCAGACCAATGCACCTCAACCCCCGCTTCTCCTGCTTGAGGCTGAGTCTAAGACGCCTCTGGCAAACCCTCTAGGTCTGAGAGGCACGCCTCGCACAGAGGGGCCCTGAGATATTGAAGCGACTCAGACGGGCCCCCCGGCCCGGCCCTCGTCACGGGGGTGTGAGCCTCAAGAGCCGAATGTGGAGAGAAGTCCCGGCTTTGGGTCCGACCACCCGCCCTCCTCCGCAGCTTCCACACTGTGCCTGCCTCCGAGCTTCCCGTCACCGGCTTGGCTGGGATGCGGCTCTGGGTGACAGCTGTCCCCATCAGCAGACAGCTTCATTAAGCCTCATTAAGATGTCATCCCTCCGCCTGCGTTCCCAGCTCTCAGCTCTAATTAAAACCATCTCTGCCCGCGTCCCCGGGGGCCGGGGATTCTCTGGGCTCCTTCTGCACGGAAGCGGCCTCCGATCCCCGGTGGGAAGGCCAGGCCCAGACACCCGCGCGGGAACCAGGCCTGGAAGTCCCGTCGGAGCAGCTGGTGGCCAGCGTGACCAGCGTGGGGAGGGTGGGG